TCCAGGCAGCTCAGCCTCGCTGCAGGGAGGCTGCAAAGGAAAAGATGCAAATTCTATCACCCAGCCCTCAAGGCTTGCTCCATTCAAAATCAGATTTGGGCTTGAAACATGTCTGTGCTCCTGCACTTTGAGATGAGCTTTAATTAAGAGGTAAAATTATTAAAGCTGCAAGTTATTATAGCCTGAGGACCCCGGCCCAGTGATATGAAGCAGATGGTCCCGGGGCAAGCAAAAGCCCTTTAATAAAGAAGCGTTTGCAATTCATGAGCATTAATTATGTCCACTTCTCTCATTTTAAAATGTTCTGCTTGTCAGCCCTGGTATTGTGGGCAGAGCAAGCATGATGAATTAGGCTAACCCCTTCTGCTTCAAGACATATTCTTTGTGTGGTGAAAATTAAAAGTATTATCTCCCAGAAGATGGAGTGATTCGAATATTTAAGCACTTGGGGATCCCCACCCTTCTCCCCAGTGGCCCAGGTCCCCTGGGCAGGTTTGGAAGGGCCCGGCTGGGATCCAGCCAGCCCAGGAGGCAGCAGGGGAAGCATCACTCCAGCCCGGGGCTGCTGACGGGGGAGCAGCAGCCAGAGGGATCTGCAGGATCTGAGGGATCTCGGCCAGAGCTCAGGCAGGATGGATCCTGCAGCCCTGGCTGAGCTCTGCCTGAGTGCCTGCACCGGGTGCTGCTCCCTCCTCAGTCTGTCCCGGGGGGAGGAGAGGGCCTGAGAGAGGCTTGGGCGGAGCAGCAGGGGCTCATCAGGGCACTGCCCAGCCCTGGGAAGCTCCAAGCCAAGGCACAAGTGACCCTGGCACACCAGGACATCCTGCAAGGCCCTGGGAAGATGCCAGTCGGATTTATTCTTGTCATTTGCTTCCGCTCCTCATGTCTCTCCTCTGAGCACCTGAAGAATTCACTGAGACCACTTAAAACAACCAATAATTCCTCCTACCACCCTCAGCAAGGAGAAATTCCTTTTGCTGCTCTGATTCACAGCTAAAAGGTGTCTCCTTGCATTTCCTAGGTACAAATCCAGGTTTTCCATGCAGGGGAGTCTCACACCATGCCTGATGTTCCAAGATAACCCCGTGTGACCTGGAGTGAGGGTCACCTGCCCTGCCTGTAATCCCTTCACCCTCTGCACACCTTGGCTGGTGACACCTTTTGCTTTCATAGAGATTTATTGGCTCTTCCCTCTGCCCTGGATTAAACCCCACCATGGCACTGCTGGGTTTGCCCAGGCATCCGTCAGAGAAGTCCAGGACTTCTTCTCCTTGCGGGGCTGTCACAGCCCGGGGACAGGAAAAGCCCCCCTGGCTCTGTCACAGCCCGGGGACACAAAAAGCCCACCCTGCAGGGCTGTCAGTGCCGGGCTCAGGAGCCTCCTGGGCTGAGCTGGGGTCAGGAGCAGCTCCGGGGCTCTGGGGCAGGCCTGGGATGCCCCCGGGCTCAGGGGGGCTCTCATTAAGGGGGAACAAGAGAGAAGAAGCAGCAGAATTGGACACTGAGCACAGGGAAGATGATGTGGGAGGTAATTCATTATCCCAGCCTTGCTCGGCCTGTTAAAGCCCCCATCCCCTCGGAGTGGGGACCCTGCCCTGCACAGGGCAGATGGGATCCCGCCGAGCCACCCCCAGGCACTTCACGGTCAATTAGAGGCGAGGGGAGCCAGGACAGGGGTTAAAGATTGCGCCGAGGGCCAAGCCGGGGACGCAGCGGGGGCTCCTCTGCTCATCTATATCACAGACACTAATTTGGGTTAATTTACTTCAAAGGCTTTCCTGGGGATTGTGGCGCACGCCGGGTTGGGATCTATTCCTCCCAAAAGAGGTTTGAAAAGGGGCAGGGGCCTTTCTCTTGAAAGCAGCCCAGGGACAGAGCTTTGAGGTTTGATTTCCCTTTCTTAATTTTTTTTTTTTACAAGGGCTGTCTCCAAAGGCAGATAAGAGGGAGCCCTGGGAAATGAAAGCTGAAAAAGTGGATATGAAAGGAAACATGACCAACAAAGACTGTAATGAAGCAGTTAAAGGACTTTAAAATAAAGCCTTTCCCCACCCAGTGCCTGCAGAGGAGCAATAAAACCATCCTGCAAAGTGCCAGCCAAAGATTCCCCCAGGAAAGCTCACCCCTGGGGAAAGCTAAATGTGTTGAATTATCCCCCAGGAAGCAAATAAACCAGGGACAGCACGGAGCTTTTATCCTTTTATCGGCCTGCGGGAAGTGGCTGGTTAATGCTGGGAGCCCAGGGAGGCTGGAAAGGCAGGAAGAGCCTCGGCGGTGGGGGGGAACAGGGGAAGGATCCCGGGGGGAGCAGAGGATGGATCCCAGGAGGAGCAGAGGGTGGATCCCAGGAGGAGCAGAGGGTGGATCCCGGGGGGAGCAGAGGATGGATCCCGGGGGGAGCAGAGGATGGATCCCAGGAGGAGCAGAGGGTGGATCCCGGGGGGAGCAGAGGATGGATCCCGGGGGGAGCAGAGGATGGATCCCGGGGGGAGCAGCTCGGCAGCTGGGTCTCACCTGAGCGGGCAGAGGGAGCCCCTTTGCCCAGGCTTGGCTGCTGCAGCCCGCGCTGGGGCCGAGCCGTGTCCTGCCCCGTGTCCCGGGTTCCGTGTCCCGTGTCCCGGGTCCCGTGTCCCGGGTCCCTCGGGGCAGGGCCCGGCCCGGCTCGGCCCCGCCCGTCTCGGTTCGGCCCCGCACGGCTCGGCTCGTCCCGGCTCGGCTCCCCGCGCTCCCGGTGCGCGGGCCGGGGCCGCCCCCGCCCGGCCGGAGCGGGGCTGGAGCCGCAGCTGTGCCCGGGCACCCACGCCACCCACTCCCACCGTAATTTTTCAATTTACAAGGCAGTAAATGAAAGAGGGAGATGAGATTTGCTCAGCGCGTTTTCCAGGAGTATTTACTGCTGAGAACGCCGCGAAAGCCATTTAAACAATTGCTTTTATGACACAACACACATTAAAGAAACTTCCCTAATATTTTTTTCACCCCTCTGCCGGTTCGTGCCGCGCCGCTGCTGCTGTGCTCAGCTCGCTGCTTTATGGGCCGTTTGGATTTTAATTGGGCTGTAGCCCCAGGGAGCGCTGAAATCCGGAGGCGCATTGAGCTCGGCGATGCTCGCAGCTGATCCGGCACAAAGGCCGGGTCTGCCCCGGCGCTGCCCCCGGAGCGGGGAGCGCAGGGCTCGGGGAGGGGACGGACCCCCGGCCTGGGTTCGCCACCCCGCTGCTGCCCAGCCCGTGCAGAGCGATTCCTGGGCGCTCAGAGGGCGAGTGCTGTGGCCGGAGCGTGCAGGGAGGGCAGACTGAGCGCGGGGATGTCCAGGGAAGGCTTTTCCCTAGCACGGGAGCGCTGGGACTCTCCACCCTGGAGTTCTCCGAGGCTTGGTGAACAAAGTCCGGCCCGGCCCGGAGCTGGCGCAGACACACCCGGGCAGCAGGCGGCAATGCAGACCTCGGGAGCAGCTCGTGGTTTTGTTACAGACTTCAACTCCTCAACATTCACTCCCAGTGGGCAGTAAGTGATGCCCTCGGAGGGAAGCCAGCTCCCCGTGCTGCTGAACATAGCCTGGGAGCTGCAGCCCGTCTCCACCACCTGAGCGCAGGCACAGCAGCCCAGGGGCCGGGCTGGGAGAGCTGCGGGTGCTCACTTGGAGAAGGAAAGGCTCCGGGGAGAGCTCGGAGCCCTTGTAAGGGCTAAAGAGGCTCCAGGAGAGCAGGAGAGGGACCGGGGACAAGGGATGGAGGGACAGGACACAGGGAATGGCTCCCACTGCCAGAGGGCAGGGCTGGATGGGAGATTGGGAATTGGGAATTGTTCCCTGAGAAGGTGGGCAGGCCCTGGCACAGGGTGCCCAGAGCAGCTGTGGCTGCCCCTGGATGCCAGCCGTGTTTATCCCCAAGCCCGGCTGTGTTTGTCCCCAGGCCTGGCTCAGTTAGCCCCAGTCCCGGCTCTGTCCCCAGTCCCGGCTCTGTCCCCAGTCCCGGCTCTGTCCCCATGCCTGTCCCTGTCCCCAAACCTGTCCCTGTCCCAAATCCCGTCCCTGTCCCCAGTCCCGTCCCTGTCCCCAGGCCCGTCCCTGTCCCCAGTCCCGTCCCTGTCCCCAGTCCCGGCTCTGTCCCCAGGCCCATCCCTGTCCCCAATCCCGTCCCTGTCCCCAGTCCCGTCCCTGTCCCCAGTCCTGGCTCTGTCCCCAGTCCTGGCTCTGTCCCCAGGCCCGTCCCTGTCCCCAGTCCCGTCCCTGTCCCCAGTCCTGGCTCTGTCCCCAGTCCTGGCTCTGTCCCCAGTCCCGTCCCTCTCCCCAGTCCCGTCCCTGTCCCCAGTCCCGTCCCTGTCCCCAGTCCCGGCTCTGTCCCCAGTCCCGTCCCTGTCCCCAGTCCCGGCTCTGTCCCCAGTCCCGGCTCTGTCCCCAGTCCCGTCCCTGTCCCCAGTCCTGGCTCTGTCCCCAGTCCTGGCTCTGTCCCCAATCCCGTCCCTGTCCCCAGGCCCGTCCCTGTCCCCAGTCCCGTCCCTGTCCCCAGTCCTGGCTCTGTCCCCAGTCCCGGCTCTGTCCCCAGTCCCGTCCCTGTCCCCAGTCCCGGCTCTGTCCCCAGTCCCGTCCCTGTCCCCAGGCCCGGCGGGGCTCGGCGGTGCCGCAGCCGCCGCTCCGCCCGACGCCACAGGAGGGCGCCCGCGCTCCGCGCTCGGCCGGGACCGACGGGACCGGGCTGGGGAATAACGGGGAGGAATAACGGGGGGATAACGGGGGGAATTATGGGGGGATAAACGGGGGGATAACGGGGAAAATGGGCAAAGGAGCACCCTGGTGCGGGGGTCACCCAGCAGCCCCCATCCCCACCGAGCTGTGCCGCGTTTGCAGCCCCGGTGGAGAGCCAAGGAAACAGGATGGGCTTTGAGGTCCCTTCCAACACAAATCACTGATTCCATGATTCCACGGGACGGCTGCGCAAGCAGGCTGGTGGAGCAGAGTCCACCTCTCAGCCCCCAAACCCCCAAAAAGCAGAAGCACCTGAGTTATTCTGACTTTTATTTCATTGCTTCTTAGTCCACACAGTCGGTATAAAATCAGAAAAGCAAAGCAAAAAAGAAAAAAAAAAGTAGAACTCCAAAAAACCTCAGGATTAACCAAAAAAAGCAGCAGTGTCTGGAGTCCTCAGAGGCAGCCGGGGTCTGTGCTGGTGCCTGTTCCATTCATGGCCAGACTCTTTGCTGACAGACAGAGGACTCACACCTCGCTCCGGTGCCAGAGCCCCACAGGCTCCAGCCAGAGCTGCTTCTGTTCCTCTGCACCACAGAGGGGAAAAGGAATCTTGGTTATAAATGCTTTATTAAAAATAATAGTAAGAGCAAATCTTAAGTACAAAAGCAGTTATAGCTCATTTATATTACACAGAATTATTTCTCATTTCTTAGCTTGTTTACCTCAAGGTCGTTAACTGAATTTCCAGTGACTAAGGTTAAGTGGCGTAGCAGGGTAAGGAATGGTAAATAGATAGCACCATTTCATACATCTGGGGTTGGATTTCAGGGAGAGCCCGGGCTGGCTGCTTCCTCAGGGCACTTTAGCTCCACGGCAAGGGCAGAGCACGTTCCAGGCTGGGACCCGGGCTGGACTGCAGCTCGGCCTAAGTGATTTAAAAGCCCAAATTCCCCGCGGGTGTGGCGGCAAGGCATCGGGACTTAGGCACGTAAGTCATTTAGGCACTTGGGGCAATCAAAGCCTTTGCTCCGAAATCCTTCAAACCTTTTGGAAGCGTCTCCCATCAGATCTGGACGTGCCCTCGGATCACAGCGTGTGGCAGGAGCAGGCCTGGCCCCCGGCTGTGGAACCGGGCGTGCTGATCCACGCCGGCCCAAAGCCAGAGCTGGGGGTCCTGGCGGGCTGGGACAGGGCAGGAGAGTTCAGCTCAAAGAGGATTTTGCATGAGAGAAAAATCACCGCGCTCTTGTTACACTGTTAGGAGTGAGAGTTCCTTAGGCACTTGCTTTAGGCTTTAAAACAGCGCATGGTCAACAGAAGCAAACAAGACTATGTACATATATGTAAAAAGTGTTATAAATAGGTTTTTTAAACCATAGATACTATATACATCTTCAATTAACAAGGAACCCTTTGAGTGTTTCCTCTGGGGGTCGGTTGGGTTTGGCTTGGGTGGGAGGGTTTATTCCTTTTTTTTTTTGGTTTTTTGGTTAATTTTCTTTTCCATTTCCTCATCTATTCTCCCCCGCCTCCGTCGGCTGCGGGGACGTCGCGGCTGCCCCGTCCCGCGGCCACGTCCCGCGGCGTCACTCGCGCTTCCGCAGGATGACGTAGATGATGCCGCTGGCCAGGGCCAGGGGGAAGGCCAGCCACGCCAGGATGTAGGCGAAGCCGTAGGAGGTGTTTTCCGAGGCTTGGTGCCAGTCCGTGTGCCTCACTGTGAAGATGGCAGCGCCACTCATCACACACAGCCCTGCAGGGTGACATGGGGGACGTCAGTGGTGGCACGGGCCAGGCCCTGCCGGGGCCCCAGGGTCACCCAGCACAGCACAGCTCAGCACAGCTCAGCAGAGCACAGCTCAGTACAGCTCAGCACAGCACAGCTCAGCTCAGAAGGGAGCTGGCTGTGTCTTGCCCCCTTGGATCCTGTCCCTGGGGGTGTGGGGGTGATGCTGTGGGCTCTGGTCTGCCTGGAGGTGAGCAGGGATGTCTCTGCCATGCTCAGAGGCAAAGCCAGAGGTTCTGGAGCAGACAAAGCCGGAGCATCACCTGGGCTAACCCATCCCTCAGGAGCCCAGGGCTGCTGCTCCAGACCAACCCCGCTCCCCTGGTGCCCTGTGTAAAACCCTGGCCTGAGCCACCTCCCTGCACTGCTGCAAGAGGGCAGACACAGAGCTGGGCTTCCAAAGCAATGTTTCTGTATCACCTCTCCAGGTGATAAAATCCACAAACCCAACGGGGCCTCAGGATGCTCTGGCTGTGATCCCCCATCCTTCACAGCTGCACCAGAAGCTCAACTGCAAACCCCATTTCCAGCAAACCCTGTTCCCTGAAAACCCTGTTCCCCGAAAACCCTGGTCCCTGCTAACCCTGTTCCCTGAAAACCCTGTTCCCTGAAAACCCTGCTCTCTGAAAACCCTGTTCCCTGAAAACCCTGTTCCCTGGAAACCCTGCTCCCCACAAACCCTGTTCCTTGAAAACCCTGTTCCCTGAAAACCCTGCTCCCCACAAACCCTGTTCCTTGAAAATGCTGCTCCTTGAAAACCCCGTTCCCTGAAAGCCCAGCTCCCTGCAAACCCTTCTGTGCCCTTGCTCGCCCCTCATGGCAGCCCAGCCCAGGCAGGGCCCGTGGGGGTCCCGGCGGTGCCCAGCCCTGGTGGGCAGCATGTAAGCGTCATTGCCAGCCCCCCATCAGGGGTGGGCACCGCCCAGAGCTCGCACAAAGCCACCTCTATTCCTGCCCCAAACGAGCTCTTTGAGTCAGTCCCAGTAGTTCTATTATCCGGCCGTGGGGCTGTTGTTGGAGCCGAGTTCCAAATCCCCTGCCCGGAGCTCAGGACCACCTACATTTCAGCACGGTGATATTTGAGCTGTAATTCCACTTGACACTGCTCCTTTTGTTCAGGGAAAGTGCACAAGTGGGAATTCACTTCATTACGGCGCTGCTGGAGCCGTTTCCATTCTCCGAGCACGGGAGCCAACTCCCACTGCCCGGCCCAGGCACAGAGAGAGAGCACGGCCATTGTCTGGGGACAGGGACAGGCGTGTGGCCACCCCGTCACCTCCAGACGGCCACGGATACAGCAGTGATTGTGTGGCCAGCTGCAAGCAATGGCCATGGCTGAGCTTGGGGGGCACCTGCCCTGCTCTGGGCTGAGAACACGCTGGGCAGGGAGCCCCAGCTGCAGCCAGCTGCAAGCAGCAATGCATCCACCACCCCTGCAGAGCCTGGCTTCGGGAGCACACTGCAGCCTGGCTCTGGAGGTCAGGAGGGCGAACACTTCCCGACACTTGTTCCCAGGGTTTGTTCGTGCCGGGGCAGCCCCAGCCCTGCAGAGGAGCCGGGCTGGGCTGGGAGAGCTCCGGGGCAGCTCTCCAGACCAGGGGTTTGCAAACAGCCGTGGGACAAGGGCAGACACAGCCTTGGAGCTGAGCCCACCCTCTGCAGCCCCAAGGCAGCAGCTCTGCGGTGAGAGGGGTGGGAGGGAAGAGACAAAAGCGATGATGAGAAGGATGCAGGAGTTGGGTCAGACCCTGAGAGGCCCAAACCCACATCTCTGCCATGCTGAGCTACAAGGAGTAGCTCAGGATGTGGATATGCTGGACCCATGGGTATGCTGGACCCACCAAGGATGCGGGGGAGCCTTTGAGACCTTGTGATGCCCTTGATCCCATCAGGACAGATGCAGCCAGGCTTTGTGGGTGATTCCAAGCAGTGTGGGGGTGCTGGGGATGATCCTGCCTGGCTGCTGCACCACAAACCAAAGTGGCCTCACACTTTTCTTTCTGCCCTGCCCTGCCCTCGCTGGTGTGCCTGCAGTGGGTGCCAGCCCCTGCCTTCCTCCCTGGCTCTCAGGGCAGCACTGCCCAGCTCTGCCACCCAGGAGTGCCCAGTGCTCCTGCCCTGGCTCCCACAGCAGCGAGGAGGCCAGAACAGGCTCAGCTCCTGTGACCAAAGCTGTCCCCACCTCCAGGGGGGATGTCCTGGCAGTGCTGGCACAGCCATGTCCTGTCTCCTGACTGAGGTCACAAAGATCAAAACTGGCCTGAGCCTCCTGCTGCAGCCCTGGCCAGGGAGAACAGCGGGGATGGGCACCAGTGCCCACCTCTGCCTGGTGCACCTGGATCCAGAGCTCTGCCTACAGCTCCCCTGGCCACAGGGAACCTAGGTGGATGAGGACACACGTTTTCTGTCGTTCACGGTGGCTGGGCATGGCGTTAACCCACAGCCCAAAGAGACTGAGGTGTGACCCTGAATCCCCTGGGACACCCAGCACGGCACAGACAGGAGGGCTACACTCCTGTGCTCTGCTCCTCCGGCAATGAGGGCTCACAGCAATCACTCAGCAGAGAGAAGCCTTCTGCTCCCAGGGCTATTAGAGAGCTCTCAGGCAGGTAATTGCATTATTAATGCCCATTTCCCCTCCTTGGCTCCATGGCTCTAAGGAGTTTCCACACATCTCTTTTTCCAGAGATGGTGAACTGATCTGAACTCCACCAGCACCGCAGCCAAGCAGATCCACTCCTCATGAATTCATGCCAATAAAGCTTAGCTCTGGATTCCGCCAGTGTTTGGGAAGGCCAGTTGCTTAGAGGATGCCCAGAAAGTTTAAAGTCTAAACTCAGTGAATGAGTTTTTCCACTGATAAAACAGCAGGACCTTGGGTGACTTCTAGTTTAACATCTAAAGCTCTAGGAAAGAACCAGTCTCCTTCACAGACACTCTGTCCCAAAGCAGGCAGGACCTCGAAGCACCATTACATTTTTTAGTCTGAACTCTTGAAAATCCTCTCCACTGGTTTCATACGTAGAAGCATAAACAGAACCAGTGCCTTTAGAGCATCAGTATTTGGGGAGCTGCAGCACAGGATGTGAGCTGTGGCTCCTTTCCAGCACTGAGCTCTCAAAGAGTTAAAAATAACAGCTGACAGTCCAAGTCAGAGCTCACCCTGCAGCTCCAGGGCTCTGTGCTCATGGGGAAAGCACCAGGCCCCCTCATGGCAAGTTTATAAATAATCACCGTGCCCTCTTTTGCCAAAACAGGACTGTCAGGACTCTCCCCACCCTGCCAGCAGCTGTGGAAGCCTCACCCAGCCTGGTGAAAGGTCCCAGGGTCAGCACAGCCACCCTGGACACAACATCCAACTCGAGTCCTGGGGAACAGGCAGAGCTCTCCTTCCAGCATCCCTGTGATCTACTGCCCCCAGCTCTGCCCCGGAGCCCCGGCACCCTGTCCCTCCAGAGCCTCCCTGCCTGGGGCACAAACCTGCTTGCCCCTCCCATGTGCAAGGGCAGAAGATCCTGGATGCACAACGGCCCAAGAGCTGGATTCCCAGGATCCCATCCTCAACACCCCCAAATTATTCCCTTCCCTTCCCTTCCCTTCCCTTCCCTTCCCTTCCCTTCCCTTCCCTTCCCTTCCCTTCCCTTCCCGGTGTGCCCCGGGGGCTGTTCCTCCCTCCCTGCCCTCTCCCTGCCCTCTCCCTGCCGCAGCGGGCAGTGCCAGCCGCCAGCCCCGCTCACCCGCCAGGATCTGGAAGACTCCGGTGATGTAGAAGCGGCCGCCCTTGGTGAGCGTGAAGAGCTGGCAGAAGAACAGGAACAGCGACAGCACGCTGAAGATGACGGAGAGGATCATCATGGCTTGGACAGCCTGCAGCCATTCTGGGGACAGACAGACACACAGACACCTCAGCGAGGGCCCCACGGGGCCCTGCCGTGCCCACGGCCTTGCCACCAGCCCACGGGGCTCGGGAGCAGCCGGGGCCGTGCCCGGCGCTGCCCAGCTGCCAGCCGCCAGCACGCGATGGCAGGCCTGGGCACTGCTGCGGGAACGCTGGCCACAAAACGGAGCAGAGACAAACCCCGACCTGCAGAGAGCAGGCAGAGCCTCTGCCCCAGCTCCGGCCAGGCCCGGCTGCTGAGCTGTGCTGCAAACACCAAAGCATGCACAGCAGGCTCCGGGACACCGCGCTGGCCGAGCTCCGAGGGCAGATACACACACGGGACGAAAACACCCTCTGCCCCTGTGGAGCTGAGCCCTCTGGAAGTCCTCCCCAGCTGCCAAGCGCAGCTGTGTCCCAGAGCAGGCCAGTTAAACCAGCCCCTGTGAGTCACTGCTCAGCTATTTCCAGGCCTAGTGGGTGTGTAACTCCTCACGTAAAAATATAAATAAACAAGCAAAATGCAGCGCCATGCCGTGAGCTGCTGCAGCTTGACAGAAAGAGGCAGTGCTCACTAATAATACATCTGCCTTCCCCTTTCCTTGTAAAGTTTGAAATCAGAATGCAGGACTCGGTGCAGGTAAATTGAGGCACAAACCACCCAGTGAAAGGCAGAACACTCCTGCTTGGGGCTGGATCCTCAGATGGGATTAGGCAGCACTGAAGCCTCAGACTCAGCCCCACGTTCCTCTACACTTTTACTCCCACCAGTTTCAGTGCCCTGCCTGCAGAGTCGGCTCCTGCAGCAAAACCTCCAAACAAGGCTCAGCCCTCAGCTCACCACATCCGACCTCGGAGCAGCAAAGGGGGCCACGGGGACTGTCCAGGGCAGGGTCTGCCCCGCAGAACTGACCACGCGTCCCCAAATCCCCGTGAGCCACGCTCGGGAGGGCAGAGCGGGGCTCGGAGCAGGGTGAGGCACAGCCTCCAGCTGGGCTGGCAGCTGACCCACGGCCCTGCCAGCAAACCCGCGGCTCACTCACGCCTCTGGGTCTGACTTTGGACCAGGACTCCTAGCCCTGGTCTCTGCCTCTTGTCTCTGGGCACTCAGGCAATGGAGCAGACACAGGCCCTGCTCCCAGAGCTCTGGAACCACCCAGAGCAGCCCCTGCTCCTCACAGCCAGCCTGGTCCTTCTCCTCCTGTCACACTTCCCATTTCCAGCTGCTGCCCTTCCCTCACGCCAGTGCCCTGGCAGTGCCATTCCTTAGAAAGGAGCAGCTTTTGCTGCTTCCAGGAAATCCCAGGGTGGATTTCACTGCAATGTGCACACAAAATGTCCAATGGATTTCCCCTGTCTCAGGTTGCCAGGCAGGGAACACCCCTGCCTCAGCCCTACCTGCCCCTTCAGCTCTGGCTCTCCTCCACCAGTGGGAACAGCATGAGGCAGCTCCAGCACCACCAAAGTCATCTGAAATCCTCACTCAGATCAGACCAGAGAAGTGGTTGGAGGATGTGCAGCTTCTGAACTGCACCTCCCTCCATTCCCATCCCAGCTGGGCTCTCCTCTCAGCCCTCCCCAGCTCCAGGCACCGGCTCAGCCTAAGCCAAGCCCTGCAGCTCCATCCAGGAGCAGAAAGCCAAGTCTTTTGTGATGGCAAAGGCCACGGGATCCGGCCCGAGAGGAGCCTTTCTGCTGGGAGGTGGATGCTCCCACTGCTGGTTATTTTAGGAGAGAGCTGTCTAGACAGAAAGCTGAGCTGAGCTGAGCTGCCCTTTAATTGCATCCGCCTCCCCTGCCTGGTTTTTGGTTCTGAATGCAAATGATTTACAGGGGCTTTGCAAAATCCCATTGTGATAAAGAGCCATGTCAGAGGCAGAGAAAGGGAGCCCACCGTGGCCGGAGGGTTTGGGCAGCCAGCCTGGGAGCAGGGAAATCAGGAGCTGACCCCACAGACCAGAGCTCTGAGCTCACATCCAGCCCTTTGCTGACTTTTGCTGGCCTGCTTTGTGAAAACAAAGGGCAGGATCCCAGCCCAGCACTGCGACCCACGAGAGCAAGTTCCAGAGATCCATTAACTCCACGCCAGCTGCCCACAGACTCCAGCTGCACTGGGACAGCTAATTGCCTTTATTACATTTTAGATCACCCCTACAACTGCAGGTGGGGTTTCTACCTGCTCAGCCCCACGTGCCTTTAACCCCTGTGCTGCTGGTGCTGTGTCCAGCCCTCGGGATCTCAAACACAGCAAGTTTCCCAGAGCTGCAGCTGGGCTGTCAGCACTGTTTACTGCCAGGCTGTTATTTGTGGTTTCCCCTGGGCAGTGAGCTGGTTATCCCATTTTTTCCCCTGCATCTCTTCAGCTCTGTTTATATCTTTTTTCTTCAGGAGGAAGGAGAAGAGGAAGCAGCATGGAAAGGACAGATAACACCCTGCACTCCGCTTCCAGACGAGACCCGGTCAGACTGGGTTAACAGCCCTGTCAGGCAGCCAGAGACACAGCAAGGAATTCTTACAAAACAAATTTGAATTTTCCTTTCAGTTCTGCAGGCCCTGATGTGCTCACAGCACTACTTACAACAGCAGGGAGAAGACTTCAGCCCTGGGAAGATAAAGACCATGTTTCACTGCCCTAAAATCCAGCACAAAAGAAAGAAACCCAGAGCAGAAATTGGAGCTTGGAGCCCAGAAATTGCAACTGAATCTCCCAGAGAGACAGCAGCCAACGCAGCCCCTGGCAGCAGAGCCCCAGCCCTGCTTGCAGAGAGGTTTTATGCCCTGACAGGACTGACAGGGCAGGGAAAATATGCCCTTGGCCAGGAGCAGAGGCCTTGAAGGACAGGCATTGCTTCCCCAGGGTTTAATTCACACTCTCCCACCCTCTTTGGCCCCAGCCAAGGAGGAAGAACAAAGTGCACACTGAAGACACTTATTTGAGCACTCAGCCTATCCACTGCTGTAAGGAGTCCCTAAATGAATGCTGTGCATTAAAAACCCCTCCATGCTGGGGTCTGCAGCTGATGGGAACATTCTGCAGATGGAGCTTTCCCTTTGCCAAGTGTGTACGCTCTGTACATTCAAAAATCAACCACTTCTGGGGAAGAAAACATCCATTAGGGAGGTAACTATCAGATACACTGCCAAAGCTGAGGGAGGGAAACTCATGCCCCCAGCTGTAACACCTGCTGCTCCCATGCTGCAAGTTGTTAAATCTCAGCAGGGTCAGGAGCAGCACGGGTACAAAGGCACCAGCCCAGAAAAGGCAGGATTTCTGAGCAGAGTTTTTCCAGAGCACACTCTCAGGTGTCAAGGCCTGACTGAGGTCCTGAGCCCAGCTCACATCCTCCCCTCTGAAGTGGCCAGGTTGCAGCAAAAGGCTGGGACTTGCAGTGGTTCTGATCAAGAGGGTTGGAAAAGGGTGAGCTGGAGATGCAGAAACACCAGAACAGCTGCAGGACTCTGGGCTGCCCTTCAGACAGAGCCCCTGAGAACCCCCAGGACCAGAAAAGCTCCGGTGCCAGCGGTGCTGCTCTGCACTGCCCCAGCCCTGCCCCTCAGCCCAGGGCTGCAGGGCTGTACAGCTCTGCTGCAGAGACAGCTCTGCTCTCCAGCTGGGGACACATCCTCCCCGTCTGTCCCTGAGCCACTGCTCTGTCCCAGGGAAAAGCCACGGCCAGCCCAGCTCCCATGCAGCTCTCTCTGCTGTGGCCCAGCATCACTCTGGCACAGTCAGACATTCCCGGCTGCCCCTTTGCCACCCTCCCATCTCCATCCCCTGGGAACCACGCTGTGCTGGATCAGGGTGCTCCTGGAAATCCCCTGGCAAAGGGGGATTCTAAAGGGCTCCCCAGGTGTTTGTGGGGGATGAGCAGGAGGGAAACCCTGGGGCTTCAGGGAGGCAATCACTGAACACAGCGCTCCGAGTCCTGTCCAAGGCCTCCTGCTCCCCTCCTGCAGCTCCTTCCGAAGGAGATGAACCCCTCAAACCTCTGTCTTCTCCTCTCCTCTTCTCTCCTCCTCTTTTCCTCTTGACTCTCCTCCCTTTCCTTCTCCCTGAAGCTCCATCCAAGAAGTCCACGAGGCCAGGACATGCAGAGCTCTCCAGAGCTGCCCCGCTCCGACGTCCCACAGAGCTCACATCCCGCAGAGACGCTGCCGACGCAGCTGAGGCAGCAGAAAGCTGCTGGCACCATGAGAAGCTCCTTCCAACAGCTCTGCAAAGCCCACAGCAGCTCCTTTCCCTCGCCGTGGTGGCTCTGACCTCCTGCTGGCCTGTGCTGAGGTGGCAGATCCATTGTTCTGTGCCCACATCCTCCCAAGGACTCCCAGGGATGTCCAGTCCAGGCAGCAGGAGTGGGCAGCAGTGCTGCCTTGGCCCACAGGCCTGGGGCAGGGTCACTCAGCCTGTGCCCACAGCGGCATCTGAGGGGCTCACCAAGGCCAAAAATTGCAGGTTGAAGGGTTTTCCAGCACCACACTCTGCAGGGGACACCCCACCCTTTCTTCTGGTTTGACAGTCATCCTTTGCCCACGTGTTGCCTTCTTCCTCCCATTCCTCTGTGGGCCAGAACACAAATACGGCAGGGAAAGCTGTCTGACCCCTCCTCTCACAGGAAAAAATGGGGGCCAAAGACATCTGGAGCAGCTGAGAAAAAACCAGCACCAGCTCCTAACCTCTCCTTTATCAGATGCTCTTCAACAATAAAGAATTGGTTTTAAGCAGAGGAAATCCCTTTCCTATTGAAAGCAAGAGAATTATGGGACAAAGTGATCTGGAATATAAAATATTGTCTTGGAATAGGAGATTTTTAGATTTTAGGAGTAAATTCTTTACCCAAAGGGAGGTGAGGCCCTGGCACACGTGCCCAGAGCAGCTGGGGCTGCCCCTGGATCCCTGGCAGTGCCCAAGGCCAGGCTGGGAGCAGCCTGGGACAGTGGAAGGTGTCCCTGCCATGGCAGGGGTGGAATGAGATGGGCTTTGAGGTCCCTTCCAACTCAACCCATTCTGGGATTCTGTGACTCAGGTGCTTTCAGAACACCAAGGGACGAGTTACAGTCCCCAGGGCTGCCAGAGAGGGCTCAGCCCTGCCCGAGTTAAGCCGGTGTCACCCGTTATTGACAGCGTAAATAAAATCTGCTCTGGGCAACCAGCTGGGCTTTGCTTGTGGCCACCACATCAGCAAAGCAGCAGGGGCATCACAGGGCCCCCGGCACTCAGTGATGGGCACTTCCCAAGGTTTAGGGGCTCCTTCTCTCTTTAACACAGCCCCAAACCAGCAGCCTGCCAGTGGACAAACCAGCCACAGGAGAAACTGTGAGAGGACAACAGGAGAAGCTGTGAGAGGACAACAGGAGAACCTGTGAGAGGACAACAGGAGAAGCATCTCCTGCCACTGCAGAGGGACGTGGGGATCCCCACGGCCTCCCCACTTTCAGCACTCCCAGCACAAGCAGAGTGGAATGCAGCAGAACAGAAGCTTCTTTCCCACATAAGACATTCAGCTGAGGAAAGAAAAGGCCGTTTTTGGAGGGAGAAGCATGGCTGTCTGGAGATCTGGAACCTCCTGGAGAGCCCTTGCTGGCCGCTCAGCCTGGCTGGCTCGAGGCCCTGCCGACCCACAGCCCCGCAGCAGAGCTGAATTCCTGAGATAAGGCTTTTCCAGGAATGTCTGACAGCGCAAACGAAGCAATGATTGCAACATTTTTTCCATAGTTCTCGGCCTCTCAAAGAAAAATAAAGCATTATCTAACAGCAAATGCAAAAATCAAAGCGACAAGCAGGCAGTTGTACGCGGAGAGGGAGTGGGAAGGTGCTGGGGCTCCTGCTGGGATGGCTCACACACAGGGCTGAGCCCTGCCGAGGGGAGCTGGGGACGGGGAGCTCAGCCCAGCCTGAGCCCAGGGGCTGCTGAAGTCCCGAATGCAGCGCTGTGCCCAGCCTGGTGCTGCCTTGCTCCCTGCTCCATCCCCACGGGATGGTCTGTGGGATGAGCAGCACAGCCCACAGCCTGCCCCGGGGTGAAACCAGAGCAAATCCTGCTGGCACCTGGATTTAAAAGCTCTGCTTCTTGCTGGGAATCCACACCGAGGTCACGAAGAAACGGCTTCCTGTGTGACAGGACAGGGGAGGTTCAGCTGAGACTAACACAGCACCACAGCATCACCCCGCCAAAATCCCCATCCATGATGAGCACAGGTGACCCAACACCATCTAATTCCCAAATCCCACTCACTGACTCCCACTGCCTTCTGAAAAGAGAAGAAGAAATAACCACACCCAAAGGCCACCATGATGGCCAGAGCAAAAACTGCTCCCATGTAGAGACTGAAAGTTCTGCCACAATTCCCAAGGACGATTCCTTGCTGTTTCCCCAGAGCACCCTGGCACTCCAGGATTAACCATTCAGAAGCATCCTGGGCCTAGGGAAATGAATTTTTATGGCTCTGGAGCCCACTGCTTACAGCCTCTGTTCTGAGAGCTGTGACCAAGGATGGTTTGTGGTATTTGTATGGGATCATTCCTAATTTTGAAAATATGCATATTCCTAGGAAAGAGGTGAGGATGAGGCAGGAGACAAGAGTGAGCCTCGGAGGTGGCTCTGCCACAGTGTCCTTGCCCTGTGACCTCACTGCTGCTCCAAAGAGTGGCTGACAGCAGCTTCTTCAGCAGTGACAGGGGAGAAAAGACCTGCTGGAAAGGAGACCAAGTGGTATTTTTGTTGTTTTTCCAACAGACCTGAAAAGCCCTACATAAGCCCAGGAAATATCCTTTGATTTTACATTCCTACAGCAGCAGTGGGCTCTGGACCCTGCATCCAGGGCCCCACAAGATGAAAGCAGGTCCTCAACAGCACTGCTCCCACCCCCTGGCCTCAGGGTGAATGGGGCACAAGCTTTTGTGCAAGCGAAACCCCCTTGTCCTGCTGCCAGAGCAGAGCCCTTGGATGGGTGAGAGCTGTCAGAGATATGCTTGAGCACAGTGGGCTTCTACACACAGAGCTGCCCACGGGGGCACTTCAGAGTGGTTTGGGTTGGAAGGGACGTTACGGATGCTCTCATTCCACCCCACCTGCCATGGGCACCTCCCACTGCATCGGGGCTCTCAACCCAACTCAGCTGCTCAGCTGCACTTTCAACAGGATCATCGTGCCCATCATCCCTTAATGATGATAAATCAGCACTGGAAAGGCTCTGGAGGCTCTGGGAACGGGCAGGGGACATTCCCAGCCCGCGGCAGGACCGTCGGGTGTGCGGAAACCACCCAAGCACGGTTTGGACGAGCTGCTCTCAGCACTGACAGCCCCGACAGAGCCTCTGTAAACATCCAGAACGAGCGGCGCAGGCTTGAAAAGGCGAAGATTTGGGGAGGCTTTAGAGCGCCGGGCTCGGGGCTGCTGGGGGCGGGCGCTGCCTTTCAGGACAGGCAGGGGCTCAGCAGTTTCGGAGCTCGCATGACTGGCCCTGAAGCGGGGCTGCCGACGCTGCAGCAGCCGGCCCGGCCGGGGCTGCTGCGGGCGCCGAGGGCTCCGCGCCCGGGACGCGATCCAGGCGCTCCGGCTGGCCCCGACACCGCCAGGCGTCAGCAGAGACCCGCGCTGGGCTCGGGAGAGCAGAGCGGGGACAGCGGGGACAGAGCGGGGACAGAGCGGGGACAGCGGGGCCAGAGCGGGGACAGAG